TAGGATATTCCTTTCATACTTATTCAACTGCTGAAACAAATTGGGCGAAAATAAACAGTTGGTATGGCGTCTCAGACAGTGGTTCAATAGGATGACTTCGGTTGACATATTCTTGGCTACAATGGGGCATTTGGGTGGCTATTAACAAAATATAATACTGTTATAAACCAGAACTTCAAGAATGGACTCTCAACTCCTTCACTCAACTCCCATAATGAAGACCAAGATGTTGTTAAACACGTTTATAATTAGTCAGAATGTAGAGACTCTTCAAAGAGACAGCGAAATCATTAACTTCATACTCTCATAATAATCGATGGTGATAACTGTTGACATTGCGCTGTATGATGAAACTCGTATGTTGATGAATAACTGCTCAGCAATTGTTACACCATAAGACGTAAGATTTATTCTTTGATATGCGAACAAAATCTCCCTTATAGGCGGATTGTATATCCTATCTATACATCACGATATATAAATGAATCAAAATAGACACTTGACGTGGTTACAATTACAACTTTGCAGGTTTTACAGGATGCCGGTAAAATGAGTATAACAACTGGAATGGTGAAAAGGCGAAATATAATTAGTGACAGAGATTTTAATGGATATCCTACATGAGTGTGGCGAAAGATAGACGAAATGACTGTGACACAGTGCTACAATGCTGATGCATTCGAAGTGGAAGATGAATTGTTTTCCTTGACATGAGATGGGCACCAAGCACAGAGTGGAATAGATGATTAGAGATATGATGGCGAGTTAGTGAATGACAGGATTGGTCAGCAAACGGTTGGTGACCACTTTGAAAAATCTGTGAATAAGAACACTATCAGGGAGTCGAAAACTGAAGCGTCATCAGCTCAGGAGACTTTCTGAAGAATTCAATAAGAATTAGGCCATATCTCGTATACAGACTTCGCAAAACACACACTGAGCTGTACAGCTTTTATTCTCTAAATAATATTTCATTGTCTGTCTCATTACCATCAAAACAAAATGTGAAAGCATTACGTGTAACATTTCAGCATTCCGACACATTTCACCTCAGATTCAGTCAGTCTGGGTCATTATCCAAACAATGTCACAAACACTGGTTTTCTGCTATCTACATATGACTAGTTATTTTCAACCTCGTAATCACTTCGCTTCAGCTACTCAGATGTGTTTTGATGGAGCTACTAATCACACTCTTGTGTTTTCCTACTAATAATAACTATCGTTACGTATGTTTTTCATGAATATACGTGCACAACACTGAACAATATTTGTTGTTTCACAACAAAGGTGATATGTATCATATACTACATGAGGTGATTTTAACATTATTCAAGGTGAACACCTGCTGGTACTTCAATCTTCGAGAATCTTCTTTGAACGACTACTCTCCATATAAGCGAACTATTCCTCCTCATCCTCTTATGTTTAGTCGAAGTGTGATTTTGTCCCTTCTAAACTAGTAAACAAGATAGTGACTGAAAGTACTACCTGCAGTCTAAATCTCTTCCTGATGCACATAACTGAGTTGCCTAGGTCGACTAGATATTCCAACCTCCTGTTTGCACAGGATAATTCACTCTAAACATCTCTCTGCAGTGATGATGATAAACAATTCCTCCGAGATGACGTGTATCTTCCAGTAGACTGGTTTGTAAAACGGTGCTTTGAAATCAACGTCACCAAGAGTACAGTTATGTGAACAGATGACAGTTTTATCGATGACTGGCTACTGCTCAAAGTAACGGAATACAACGACTTTGTTAGCTACCTTATTCATGACCTCGTGACATCAGTCACTTGTGGAGTGGTAGGTGCTGAAGTCTTCTGAATCTTGTGTTTTTTATGAAAAGCTTTCGGTACCTACATCGGACACTATTTGCACTATGAAGTTCAAGAAGAGAGTAATTGTTTCACGTACGAAGCTAATGAATTAGATCATGTTCGAAAGGTAGAAAGTGTCATGTTCACAGGACTCTGAAACTACTTCTCCTGTGAAGGAAGACTAGACTTTCCATTACGTGTCTTTCATACTGATCAACGTATTAACCTGGTTTACTTTGATTCAACCTACAGTATGAATGACGTCATTCACTTTTTCATCGTGGTTAAAAAATGTGGGATTAGGTAAATTGATCAACTGTCAAATTCACAATTCTATACGAGGTGACACATTTGTTAGTTGGTATCGAATTGCTTTCTAACTATGGATGGCTGTCAGAAATCATCAGTCGAAGATTCGACTGTCTAAAATATCTACCAGTAATGCTTAGGTGGGAAGAAGAATGATAGAATGAATCGGTTCCTATGCAAACGCCTCTATAATAAATACCTGGATATTGATTATGTTATAATTTGTTAGGTGGTTGAGAGCAATGTTTTGCAGAACGTGTGTTTCATGATCCACCTGACGAGTGATTGCTGCATTGTAGTATATGTGCGTCCTGTATCCCACTGGCAGTAAGCACCAAATTAACAATGAGATATATGAAACTGTATGCACAGATGTACTATGTATGTGTAGAAGTGGGAGCGAGATAAAGAGAGAGAGACTGGTAGTATAGTGTAGCTGGAGGCACATGATTATCTGATTATATCGGCCATTATTACGCTTGATGTCATCAGCCAGACATGCTGTGACTACCTGTCTTGAGAATCCTCTTTTTACTCACATATCCAGTCTGAATGAAAACGTTTTCGTTATTTGTACGACGAATACCTACTTCTGATTGCGAAGAATTTCAATAGTCACAGATAAACAAGTGAATGTGAAATAAAGTAGATATTCACTGAGCTAAATTCAATGAGCTGACACATATCTGATAGTGAATACAACGGTGTCAGATAATGAGAGTGAATGAACAGAACGATCTGTATGTTCTGGACTTCACGCTTGTTAGCACCCACCAGCAATATGCAACAGCGACCAAGAGGAAACTGGTGTTCCCTTGATGATTTGAGGCATCCAAAATATTTTATTCAGAGAATACACTGAATCGACTTGAAGATGATATATCTTCCCTTTCGAATGTTGAAGAGTTATCCACTATGCCACCTATTCAATTTAGCCACTACTTGTATGGTGATCAAGGATAATAAGTTGTAGGTGTAGTGTTAAAAGATGACTGATGAATAGTAAAGAAATCATTTGAAGACTGGTTATTCGTTTTTTTCGCATGTATTGCATAATCATAAGTTAATGAGTATCTGTCATATAAGGGGGCTCAGAAATGATTTCATACGAAAAGTTAGGTCTGTAACATGTGTAACCACCAACATAGTAGGATAGAGGAGGCAAGGCAAGGCAAGACAAGACACGCCAAAAAAGTCCACAAATATACAAATTGAATCGGATAGTCAAATAACACACTGTAAAATAGTCATTTGAAGATAGGGTTGCTTCAAAACACTGCTTTGAATCCAATTAACTACAAATTTAGTCTCTGCTACAAAAACCGAAGAATCAAGCATAATGATGACGATGAAAAAGCTTGAGATTTACTGCTGGTGAGTAGATAACTCACATGTTAGGAGATGAGTTTTGCGTAAAAATGCTCAACGTTTTGTCTGGTTCAAGCTTCTTCGGGAAATATTAAAACATCACGTCATCACAGATACTTTTGACAGCTTTTCTCCTGTCTTGTCTAGATTACGATTGTTTTCCTGGAAGTAGAATTCTTACAAAGCAGCATTCAGTGAATTCATTTCACTAGGCTTATTCATATAAAGTAATGCTGTACGATTTATATCTAGTACTTTGGATTGCCTAAATGTCAGGGAATTCAACAGTAAGTGAATATAGATTTTGTTGAATGAAGATGGTTAGTTGACAGTGTCCTCTGGGAATATTATGATAGGCAAATAAAGTTGCCACTTTATGTTTCATTTACTCTAAGTGAAAGTTGAATTCGATTGAATTGAATGGAATCAGCAACAAGTGAAATTACCTGTCGATATGAGAACCTGCGGTGTCCAAGAGGTGAGATTCAGTCACAGATAAGCAGTTAAGTATGAAATGGAGTAGATATTCTTTCAGCGAAATTCAGTGAGATGATAGTATTTTTGAGAAGTAAGATGACTGTCAAATAGGATGCAAATCTTTTGCAAACCATTTATCTCTCTTTGTTAGTTTTAACAAAGGTTGACCCTGATAAATGTTGCTATCATTTCACTGAATGTTTTATCATTTATTTTATTGATTGATTATCAGTAGGTCAGTCACTTCTTAGTAGTCTGTATATAACTTCGTTGGGCGGGTATCAGTTTGTTGCCACTTGGTGACTGAAGTTCCATACTTCAAGTAATCCATTTACGCTTGCTTATTATGGTTTGTATTTGTATGTGGTGTTTATCGAAGACGTGACTGCGCTCTTCTACATGGATTAACTTCAGTGATGATATATCACACTGCTTTTTTGTTAATTGATGCTGTATAAACAGCTTTGTTAACTTTTGAACTCGTAATCTACAACCTTAGCTTGTAGTATTCAGTAATGTGGTTTAAGTTAGATAGTGGAAAGCCATCGTTAATACGTTGACTGTTATCTCATCAAGAATTACTAATTTACAGTTCAAAAGAGTGAAACTGCAGCCAACTTGATTTACAAGGGGAAACATCAAGTTGTACTGATGAATGCAATGTATTCGACGAAGTAAACAAACCATATGAAATGAGGAGTAAGTAATCTGGAACAAAAAACTCTTCGCTGGGCTGCATTTTTTGAAACTGGTGAAGAACAATTAAAGGAGTGAATCTTTGACACTTTCCCTATTGAAATTGGTCGACTCTTGGGGAAATTCATTCTCACAATTGGTCACATAGTTTATCCAATGAACACGTCTCAAATTTTAACATAATCAATAGTTACCAATCCTGTTAGTTATAAGCCACTGTCTGAATCGATGAAATTTTGTTTACATTGAAATTACCAATCAGCATAGGGTGAAACTGTTTGTAGGTGTATAAAAAGTGAATGAGCAGTGACACCAGCATATGCAAGATGTCTGAATTATTATCTATCAGTCCAGCTGTAATCATAATATTGGTGGGTGTATACTCTATCGAAGGTAAATACTGACTAGTATTCATGTGTGTTTCTTTTTAATTTTAACTTTTATTACCGTAGTAATCAATGTTGTTGAACACTCGAATGATAACTTCGTTTGTAATACTCATCAATTCAATTATCAATTGTTCATTTACACCTCAGTCATTCAGCATTCATAACTAGGTGACCGAAATGCACAGACACTTCATTCTTCGTTTCAAAAACCACTCTAAAATTTCAGTCCTTGATTCCAATTTGAATGTGAGTAGGGCAAAGCCAGTACACATTCATCACGGCAAGTTATGAAAATATCGTCAATATAGCTGTTTATGAATCGAAATCTCGTGAATTACTGGCCTTAGATTGGTGTTCTCCAAACTTGACGTCAGGCCGTCTATTAACAGGGGGCTAAGAGTAGAAGCCAAATTGCTTTCATCTTTCCATAGGTAGATGATGTTGTTGAGCGAAAATTGAACGCAGAAGGTGCATCTAAGAAGTACTTGAATTCAGCATGAGGTGGACATTGGATTATTCAAACTGTTGTCACTCATAAATTTTATATAAGTCACGAAATCCTCTCACTGACCAGCATGCTAGTGAATAGGGATTTTACATCGAGGCACAACACACATTCAAATCTCTCATGCTATCTGTGAATTCAAAATTGTTACGGAGTGAGTAACTGTATAAGTGTTTCTCTACAGGCTATAAAGTTTACATACACACAGTGAGGTCAATCTTGACAAGATCTATCACACATCGGCATACTGAGACCCTTGTTAGATGCAGCAAAGTAGTCACAATAAAATCTTATTGTAATGTTTGTAAAATATTATGTCTACTAGATGAACACATTTTGTAAATATTAAAATATGCACTGAAGTTAAATTTGACTAGTTTTCTGCTAATGAGTTTTTCTATTCCTTCAAGGTGGAGGCATAGCATCTGGTAAGAGGAGGAATTATGCAAAGTATTTTAATAACAGAATGAAATTTAAGATAACTGAGTCAAATAACGACAAATTTGCCTGAATTTTAGCTGAATACTCTGGACAGCAGACTGTGTGTAACAAATTGCATGATGCAGTACTGATGTACTGAGGGACTCCTCAGTTATATAACTCAGTCACAGGAGTCATTTGGGACGAAGGAATATAGATGTGACCAACGAATAACGACAAATCAGTTAGGAATGCGGAAAGGTTGAAAAGACTGTTTTGACTGAATAGAGACAAGATGATTTAGATAGATCATATCACTGTGAAGAGGATGGATAATAACTGAATGAGAAGCTGAACCCCATTACATGACTGGAACATTATTAGTTTATTATTTCGGGATGTAATACTGAATGTAACAATGATGGGATTTACGCCGGAAGCAGGGCAGCGTTTCTTGTAGTAAGAACAGTTTGTAGTCCGATAGCGGCCAACCTGACCGCGTCATAATGAAAAGATAATGATGGTGTTTGTAACAGCAATAACAACACGAATGTTCAGTTGACAAATGAGGGAGAAACGAAAAAAGCAAAGAAGAAAGAAGAATATAGATAAAACCTCACAAGTGGAAATAGGTCGATATGTGAGTTTTCGTCGGTGGGATTTCACACTGAACATTCCAAGCGAAATCATTACTTAATTAGAAAAACATAATGTGCAAGTAGGCGCCTTTTATGTTTACAAATCGAGTATAATTTTGTAAGTGTCAAATATACTCTGAATTATTTACTCATATATTCATCGTTTTTAGGTGTAGGAAAGATTACTGGTAAGAAGAAAGAAAGAAAGAAATTGTTCTAAATGAGCCATTTTGAATTGTGATACGATTTCCTTAGCTTATGCATTACTTTGAACAAATTGAAGACTGAAAGTATCTGAGATAGGCATGGTTTATCAAACTCTTGTTATTCATATTGGGTAATGATTGAATGTGAACAGAAAACCTGAGTCACGTCGGTCGGTATTCAAACCAACTGTTTCTCGCTTCGAATCTTGCTATCAACCAGGTTTACAGTTCAGCTATAAATGTTCGTCATCTAGCATAGAAGTGGAATATATTTAATCGTGTTTTTTGTAGCCAGTTATCAAAAGTTGTCTTCTGCACAAGTATCTTCAGATCGATTGAAGTTTTGTATAACTTCAGATTACTTTGAATGTCAGATGTCAAAGAAGTATATTTGGATGAAGTGCTTGTAGATAGAGAACCATGAATTAACTGGGAAAGGATACAGGAATTTTCATTGTGCAAAACATGAATATCTTTGGTAACAGTAGGAAATACAATCAACAGTCTAGAGAGGAAAATAAGAGTAGAAAAAGAAGAAGAAAATCACTTTGTAGTGAACTACTTCCTCTAAGCAGGGTGAAACAGTTTTTTTGACCGTTTGTGGCGAATATCTATTCATCTGTCAGTAACTTTAGTATGCCTTATCAATTTCCGTAGAGTATGATTTATGATGTAACAAGGCTGACTATTCATTGATTATCATGATTATTATTATCATTATTTCTCCCTTGGGTTTCTAGTAGAATATAGGGTTTCAGTAGCACGTCACCATTTCACTGCGTTCTCTGCAGTCTTCTGAACCTGACTCCACAACTACTCAAAAGCTTTCATTTCTTCCTCACACCATCTCCACCGTGTCGCCATCGGCTCAGATGCTCAACTCGTCGTTTACCATTTGACTTCCAGTCGACGACCTGACCTGGCCTGTGGCGTCATGCCCCCAAACCATTTTTTCAGTGTATCCTCAATGCAATGCGATGCAATCGAATCCATCTCGACTATCTTGTTGTGTATATTTGTTGGGGGACGGGTTGTTGGTTGGTTCGTTGTCAGCCAGTCAGTGAGTCAGTCAGCCAGCCAGAGTTTCTTGTTGCCTATTCTTTGTGGCCATCTGATGTTATCTTCAATATGAGTATTGAGTGAGCGTAGACGGCAGCTGTTCATGTATGTTTGTAGTTTGTTGTAAATGATTTTCGTAAGGTGCCAAGTCTCTCAACCATCACATAGAAACACCGACTGACTTGACTGAATTAGTATTGAAAATCGGGATCTTGTTCACGTTTTATGCTGAGGCAGTGCAGTGCAGTCGATCTCCACACTGATTTCGGATTAATGCAGGAAGGCCTGTCTTACTGTCTTTCTGATCCTGGCTGGCTTTGACTTCCTCATCTGTGCCTGTGCCGCCTGTAGTTGAAACGATACTGTCTACGTAGGAGTTTATAAATTTATCATTGAGTCCGATAGATTCTGTCTCATTCATAAGTGAACACCGATGCACTGGGATTGATGAATGCTGACATTCACGAAAGCCTAGAATTTGATCACAACCACTGACTAATTCCCCACATCTAATGGCGAGTACACTGCACCATTGTTTCCTTCCTATCACTCATCTTACCAGCTGTGTTGCGGTGACTATTTGATGAGTTAACTTTAATAGGAAATCGACAGTGACATCATCCAACTATCATACAATAACTGATTTATATCAGTACATATTTGTGAGAAGACCCTGCCTTCAGCATACACTGAAACAAATTTTTACCTAACTCCTACAATCTGAGTCAATTTACAACTTCGTTTTGCATAATATTTTTCTTATTTCTTCCTCCCTTTCTCAGCGATCAACACAAAAATAGGGAAGGTTGGAGAATTTTGTGGGAAGTATAAAAGTGAGAGATAAATAACTTCGTTGTTATTATTTCATGTCAACATGAATAGTAAATCTCCTCATATGGATTCATGTTAATTTTCATGATTCCAACTGTATAGTGTGTACTTCCATTTAGACAATATTGAAGATAGCGAAGTACTACATTTGAGAATATTTTCTGTACATTGATTGGTCAGTGGAGAGTTACTAATCTCTTGTTATCCAATCCTCAGTGCCGGTTAAACTCTAAGAATCATTTTACAATATGGTCATCAATTCAGGGAACTCAGCATCATGCTCCACTTTGATTTATGTTAGTTGACTGGAAGTGATCGACAGGAAGCTCAGCTCCACTTAGGCATCGTGTTCATCAGTCAACATGGTGTGTCTGAATCACCTATATTCTATGCATCATTCTCCATTGACAACATCTCGTTTGTTCTACATTGAAGTAGTAATTAATCAGAGATTCCATTTCATTTCAAATTATTCGTGTATTGTGTTTCAAGTGAATTTTTCAAACAAGAAAATAATTTTATTCAATCTTTTTTTCTTTTTGACAGCACTGGTTATAGAGAATAGAAAATCTGTGGAAAATGCAACAGTACTTATGAATAGTTTAAAAGGTATTCAGATATGTTAACATGCTTTACTATTAATGGTAGTCTGGTTGAACTTTGGGCTACCAATGAAATTTTCCACCAGACATATGATATTAAATTCTTCCCTTTCAATTTGTGTGAATCTCTCAAATATATCCTTCAAGCGTATCATGTTATTCAAGGGATTTTAAAATGTTCTAAAGTAGCCATTTTTTGAAGTGAATAACAAAACCAAGGAAAATTGTCACAATATTAGGTGAAGATGGACTTTTGAATGTATAAACATACCTCATATTTCTGTTCTCAAGAAATCTATCTCGAATAGTACATTCTTCTACTCCTCGAATGAACCACCACCAATAAACACCGAACGTTAGTCCAGCCTCAACTTATTGCTTTACATTATAACTTTCGATAGTATTGTTATGAACATCATTTAGACGCAATAATCATTTTCGTTAGAAGATATTGTTTTACGAGTAAATTTGTTAATTTATTACATTTTGACTATCTAAGATGGCGGTGGTTTGACAGACTACTATTTATACTGGCTGATGATTAAAGGTGAAATGAAATTGTGGACTCAGTATAAATAGTAGTCTGTCAAACCACAGCTATCTCAGATAGTCAAAATGATAGTCAATTTGATACTCCGTCTTTGTAATTCAGCTAGATTTGGATTTGGATGAGAAGTCCTGACTAGGTAAGCAGTATGAATAGGATGAAGCGGTAGTAACGCGTTATGAATTCATACAGCAATCGGTCAAAACCCATAGTGATTAGAGTGAAATCAAGAAATCTGGTCAGCAGTCGGACCTCATAGCTCATTTGGTAGAGCGCCGAGCGGATAACCCGGTGGTCAGTGATTTGGATCTGGCCACAGTCCAAATTTTCACTTCAACTCCAGTAATAACCCAGTATAAGTTTACTGCATACTGAGAATTCTGTACTGTATCAAACATAATGTTTAGAATAAAGCTATTATTATCATTATTATTACTCCCAAACAAATCATATTTTGTATTATGATAAGTGTTAATCAGAGGATTAAGAAAAATTCGACCCTTTGATGAATTTACGTAGTGTAATGAGGGGGTGGAGGTTATCTGAGAAATGTGTAGTGTATTCACGTAGCGCATTTCAAACAATCTGATCACACATTAACTTGTCAATGCATTTTAGTGTATGATGGATGAAAATACAGTAGTGTAAAAGAAATAAATAAATTAGGATAATACAAGATTTGGAAAGTATACAGATAATAAGGGGAGGCATAATACATTTTCACACCTCCTTCGGCATTAAAATAAGATGAAGATTACCGAGGTAAGTTTGAGGTAAGGACAAACTGTTTTGGAATACACAAAGCGGATCTGGACTGTTTTCGTATAGCTTCAATGAAGCTTCAATGAAGCTACAATGAAGTATACAGTTTTGACGGCTAGTATACAATGGTCTAAAGGCTGTTTTGGGGTCAATTTTTTGTTCACCTATCTAGGATAGGATAACATCTGTCTGCTTGTAGTATTTATCGGATTATTTGAATGTAATTGTTTTTCTAACCATTTAGGGATATGCTCTGTCACTCTGGACATTACAGTTTGATTACTCCTCCCAATGTCTGTGTCACCGCAGACACATTTACATTGGTATGCACAACGGGATGTCAAGTAATCATTTGTGAGGTGATGAGGTTTATTTTGAAACACAAGTTTTATTTTCTCAATAATATTTAGCTTGGTCACAATAAGCCTTAATCTTAACATCCTAACGTTTGATTTCCCATTATACACTGGCGTGATGTAAACATCCTTTATATGTGTGCGCAGTGATACATACATTGGGAGGAGTAATCAAACTGTACTGTCGAGAGTGACAAAGCATATCCCTAAATGGTTAGAAAAACAATTACATTCAAATAATCCGATAAATACTACAAGCAGACAGATGTTATCCTATCCTAGATAGGTGAACAAAAAATTGACCCCAAAACAGCCTTTAGACCATTGTATACTAGCCGTCAAAACTGTATACTTCATTGTAGCTTCATTGAAGCTTCATTGAAGCTATACGAAAACAGTCCAGATCCGCTTTGTGTATTCCAAAACAGTTTGTCCTTACCTCAAACTTACCTCGGTAATCTTCATCTTATTTTAATGCCGAAGGAGGTGTGAAAATGTATTATGCCTCCCCTTATTATCTGTATACTTTCCAAATCTTGTATTATCCTAATTTATTTATTTCTTTTACACTACTGTATTTTCATCCATCATACACTAAAATGCATTGACAAGTTAATGTGTGATCAGATTGTTTGAAATGCGCTGCGTGAATACACTACACATTTCTCAGATAACCTTCACCCCCTCATTACACTATGCAAATATCTGTGGACTGTTTGTGTTTCACATTGATAAATGTAGTTGATTCACACATTTTCAATTAATGGCCAATATTACCATAAGGAAGTCTATTGGAAATGATTTTGTCTACATGATCCGATTTATAGTGTCATTGAGGAGAAATTAGTCAACATGAAAAGTATAATTTAATTGATGCTGGTTGATATTTGAATTTCTGATGGAAATCTGGCCTACGGCAGGATTTGAACAAATAGCCTCTTGGTTAGTGGTCAATGTTGCTAATTCTCGTAGCTCAGTTGATAGAGCATTGTGTTGGTAACCGAAGGGCGCTTGGTTTAAAGCGTCTTGTGATACAGATATTTACTACACCATCAATCATCACTCAGCATCACTGATATGAGTCTGACAAACCATATAGTCAAACCCATAAAATAGGAGTAAAACATGGGCACTGTGGAAGATTGTAATTCTATTTTAGTCTGTTTATTAGAAGTTTCACACGGTGGAACTGTATTATTTACTCGATAACGTTTCGGAAACAATTTATTGTCCATATTCATATCAGGTAACTGCGCAACTTTGAGACAGAGTTTATATAGTCCTAATTTTCTCTACTTCTCTGTGATGACAATGGTAGTAGAATCATCCATATATCTCGGGAAGATTCATGTATTTGGTGTTGATTCGATAAACAAACATTCAATAATCAATCTCTCCCTTCCTCCACCCAACTAAGTTAGTTTTTAATGCTATCACTCTATCCTCCACCCTACTGTGTGATTGTGTATAATTACGTGCAGAGCTATAACCAAGCTTTTCTCTAGATTTCTTAAGTGATTAGGATTAACTAAGTTTTTGTGCTCTGTTCGACTACTTTGACCTATGTATTTAACCTCGTAATCATTGCAAAGAATTTGGGGTAGAGTATTTTGCATAATTGGAATGATAGGATCTTTTAGCCTACAAAGAGTGTTTCTAAGCCAAGAAATATGCAATAGGTATGATTCTACATCTGTCCCAGATATATGGAAAATCCTACTTCCCATTTCATAACAAAGAAGAAGAGAGAATTATTATTATAATTTGTCCCTTGGGTTTCTAGTAGAATATAGGGTTTCAGTAGCACGTCACCATTTCACTGCGTTCTCTGCAGTCTTCTGAACCTGACTCCACGACTACTCAAAAGCTTTCATTTCTTCCTCACACCATCTCCACCGTGTCGCCATCGGCTCAGATGCTCAACTCGTCGTTTACCATTTGACTTCCAGTCGACGACCTGACCTGGCCTGTAGTGTTATGCTCCCAAACCATTTTTTCAGTGTATCCTCAATGCAATGCGATGCAATCGAATCCATCTCGACTATCTTGTTGTGTATATTTGTTGGGGGACGGGTTGTTGGTTGGTTCGTTGTCAGTGAGTGAGTGAGTGAGTGAGTCAGTCAGTGAGTCAGTGAGTCAGTCAGTCAGTCAGTCAGTCAGTCAGTCAGTCAGTCAGTCAGTCAGTCAGTCAGTCAGTCAGTCAGTCAGTCAGTCAGTCAGTCAGCCATCCAGAGTTTCTTGTTGCCTATTCTTTGTGACCATCTGATGTTATCTTCAATATGAGTATTGAGTGAGCGTAGGCAGCAGCTGTTCATGTATGTCTGTAGTTTGTTTTAAATGCTTTTCGTAAGGTGCCAAGTCTTTCAACCATACAGAAGGAAAGAAAATTAGAACTATATAAACTCTATTTCAAGGTTGTTGCGTAAACCAATCAATTTCTGTGTTGTTATATGTTTCTGTACTGTTTAAATATGAAGATACTGAACGAGTGCATTTCGATTTCCATTCGATTTTCGTTACGCTGTAGAAAAAGAAACTTATCTGTAAATAAATGTCATTTCACAATATACAGAAAGAGTCATTGAGGTGTGCTAAGACAATCGGGATGCGATTGGATTCATATTCATCACACCTGTTTAACACATCAATCCACTTTTCCGCTTATCCAATGACACGGATATGAAATACACTGCTACTGTCTCCTTGAAGTCTCATCTGTTTCTTCTTTGTTTTTTTAGAACAAATTAAGCAGGGATTGGGTAGCAAAAGTGATAATTTTGAAACATGTAAGTAAAAGGTTCTGATTCACAATAAACTAACATATATTCAGTTGTAAACTGTACACTTCAGGTTCTTTCAGCAACTCTCCTACCAGAAACCTGTAAAAGTTAGTAAATATTTTTTTTTAATGAGAAGATGGTTTGCTTTTAATGATTTTCTTGCATGACTTTAGAAGATGCCAATTTGTAATATTTACCCAAGTGGTCAGAGAGTTCTTTGAGATTGGTATTCATCATGTACTGACATCAGTTAGACGAATATCAGAAATATGCTCATTAGTGACTAGTTTCGAGGGGTGATTTCTGTAGTTTCAATGAGAAATCATGACCGGTGGGGTAAACCTGGTGGTCATGAAGACAAATATTCAACGACGACATTGGGTGAAAATCGTGCTGTATGTTGAACTGACAGAAGTATGAAATGTGGAGCACTGGATTCGACTCACTGGCTCAATTGTAACGTGCTGGCTACAGAATCTGAAGGCCGTGGGTTCGATCCATTGTCAGGCAGTGCGAAGGTTTCGCACTGCTGAGGAGTCCCGTGGTGGGACGAAGCAGCATTAACTTCAGTATGAATTTAGTGCTGATGATGTCATCTAGCAAGGCGATGAAAGCTTCACGATTAAACAACCCAGCTCAGAGAAAACAATACAACCAAGACCATCCCACCTGAGCTACAAATATTCTCCATCATTTTCAATGCTCCTCCAACATATGTCAGTTCATGATGAATAAAAACTTGAAAAATCACTAAGCCTTCAGAAACCTCCAAATTCAGTTGATCAAGATGTGCCTTCTTCTGTGTGACAACAAATGTTTTCAAAGAGATACTATGTAGGGGAAAGGAATTCCTGCTCCCAGTCACGTCTTTCTACAAGAGGGCCGATTGGTTATAAGTAATTATAACTGCTTCGAAGTGAGAGTTCGAACCCAGTTCACACCGTTTATATATATATATATATATATATATATATATATATATCAACAATATCTTTAAGAAACAGAATGATGGATGAATCCCAAAACAACACAGATGAAAAAATGATCAATTGAAAATGGATCAGTTGAATACCAGGAATTCTGTCATGAAATTATGAGATCATGGAGCCATAGAGAAGATGCAATATGTACCATGGAAGGTTTCTGGTAGGTTCAGGTAGGCCACCAGGTTTAAGTTAAACGAAGAATTACGTTACATAGACCATTGGATTCGGATTTAGTGGGTGAGTAGTAGTATGGTTGCCAGGAGACCTAACTCTCTTGCCTTCCAATCCTGGTGAGGTTGTGATAGAAGATCTCCTTAAATTCTCATAGTAGACTGAAGACGTCATCCACTGTTGTCAACGTTTCAGTGAGTCTCCAACTGATTTCAATCAGTGATAACTATTACCTTGAAACCAGTCAATCAGTTACCACAAACTTTGAAACTGTTTTATTTCAAGTTGTTATTCATTGTAGACTGACATCAGTTGGAGGAACAAAGGAAACCTAGGAGCACTGGACAGCTATCTCGTCCTAGTATGGGACTCCTCAGCAGTGCGCACCCATGACCCTACACCAGCAGCGATCGAACCCGCGACCTTCAGGTTCCGTGGCCAGCACGTTACCATTGAGCCACTGGGTCAGAATCCAGTGCTCCATATTTCCAAATTCTGTTAGCTCATGATATAGCGCAACTGCCACCCAATGTCATCGTTGAGTATCTGTTCTCATGGCCATCAGGCTTTGACTCCACCGGTCACGGGTTCGATCCCTGCTGGTGTAGGGTCGTGGGTGCGCACTGCTGAGGAGTCCCATACTAGGACGAAACAGCTGTCCAGTGCTCCCAGGTTTCCTTTGTTCCTCCAACTGATATCAGTCTACGATGAATAACAACTTGAAATATTTCCAAATCTCCACAACTCCCTCAAAATTTAATGAAACTGTTTTAATTATGATATCCACTTGCATATCTTTTGAAATATTTTCCTGTTTGACACAAAATAATTTTAGGAATTGTGGATGCAATAGTAAATGTGAAAAGTTTTTCTGGTATGCACTGAGATGTTTGTCATAATTTCTTTTGTTTCATCATAAACTATAATCACCAATTTGTGGTTACTTGTTCTTTTTATATCAAATATTTCAATGAGAAGCTGAAAATATCTTTGTATGCCCTTGTTTTAACAATGAAGGGGGGTTTCCAAAGTCAGTTACACACTTTTCTTTTTAACTTTTTTTAAGGAAACTTTTATCCAGGATTGGATAAGGCAATTTCATTTTATCATGGCTTACATCTTAGATATACAGGTAAAGACTGTAAAATCAGATCTCAACTTAACTTTATCAGTTCAGTTTTATTTAGAGGCCTTAATGTATGGTTGATTAGGTATCTTTAGAAGACTGAGTTTGAAGCGAATACTTATTCTCGATAAATTCTAGTCAGGCTTTACATTTACACTTACAAATTGTTCAGCATAGTCTGTGCAGAGATAATAAAATGTTAAAATTTTTAATCAGTTTATGAAACTAAGGTTGAAAAATAAAACGATAATGATAAGAGTATAAACAACAAAGATCATATTAACAATTATCTGGGTGATCGTGAAGGATTTTATTGTAATTGTATTTGGGTTGAAGTTGAAGGCTATGCTAGGGAAAGGGAATGAATGAACATCTTTTGAATACATAAATTGTGTTTGAAAATATTAATTGCCTTGGCTTCTGGTATGCTCGGCGATCGGAGATGCACAAACTTAGAGTATTGTGGTGGGACTTTGTAAATAATATTAAATATTGAGGTTTTGTATCTAGATGAGCAAGTATTCAGCTTATGATAGATTCCACTGTTCCTTTGCCTAACCATTCTGGATAGTGTTCAGTGAAACAGTAGTAGGTTTGCCGAGTCGTTCTACCTATGTAACAATCTCTACAGGAGCAGCTAAATTCATAAATACACATAAATATAGCCAAATTGGGAAGCTTATCCTTTAGATATTCTACTGAAGGATTGATTACTGAATGTTATGCATATTTTATAGTTGATAAGAGATTTCATTTCATCTAAATCATGTTGATCTTCTCATTTCTTGGAAAGTATATACACAATTTGGTGTATTTTCTCTAATTGGAAAAAAGTGTATCACATCTCGAAATGAATGTATTTTGTTTTATGTTGTCATTCCATCTTGATAGTCGTTTTCGTCTCTCATTTGAACAGAGGAATTAAATAGTCGTTACAAGAAAATTCAGTGCTCCGTAAATTTACCTACGAAATACATTGAAGGTAATTAGACCTATCAGAAATATTTTGTTCTCTTTTTTCAAATATTATATGTTGCTAAGTACTCCTTTTTTTTACAAGATCTGTACATCTTCATCATAGAGACAGTATCAATATTAATCAGTTCATATTGATATTACCCCCAAGTAATTCACAATGGGAAGCTCAGTGATGCCTTTGAAGTGAAGACAGGAGTGAAACAAGGTTGCCTACTATCCCCATGATATTCCTTATTTTGGTGGACTGGATCATGCAGCAAACAGTAGGCAGCGAGAAGAGGGGGATACGCTGGACGACGGAAAAGAACCTAGAAGACTTGGATTTCGCCGATGACTTGTGCCTAATGTCACATAAACTTGAAGATCTGCAGGCAAAAACTAACAAGTTGACAGAAGAGGCAGCGAAGACGGGACTTCAGGTGAATATAGAGAAGATAGAAGTGATGAAGATACCGCACCAACAACTCCAACAACAACAACAAACTCCAATCACCGTCAATGGGAGAAACTTGAAGGAAGTAACCTCCTTCACTTATCTACGAAGCATTGTTTCAACTACAGGCGGGACGGACGAGGATGTCAAAGTTAGAATCGGAAAAGCAAGACAGGCGTTCATTAGCCTGAAACCAGTGTGGAGATCTTCTGCAATCAGCATGCGGAACAAGATACGGATTTTCAACACCAACGTCAAGTCAGTGCTTCTGTGTGATAGTTGAGAGACTTGGCGCGTCACGAAAGGCATTTCCAATAAACTACAGACATACATCAACAACTGCTTACGCTGGCTCGTTACTGAAGATCAGATGGCCAGAAAGAATAAGCAACAAGGAACTCTGGGAACGAACCAACGAAGCAATAACCTATCACTCAACAAATATGCAGGAAGAAGTGGAGATGGATTGGCCATGCACTGAGAAGGCCGACTGAGGACATCACGCGTCAGGCCCTCTAGTGGAATCCCCATGGGAAGCGACGAGTTGGACGTCCGAGGATGACATGGAGGAGGTCGTGAGAGGAGGAAATGAGAGGTTGTGGGCTGTCGTGGGACCAGGTTCAAAAGACCTCAGAGAACAGAGGTCACTGGAGGCGTGCTACTGAAGCCCTATGTTCCACTAGGAACCCAAGGGACTAATAATAATAATAATAAAATTGATATTACCCAGCCCCTACTCTTCTGCTTTACTGAGATCAAATCCCTAAAATCCAGTTGCTTGCAATTTCTATATTCTTATGAACTCTGAATCGTTTTCTACACTCAAGTTAAGTAGACGATGGGTTAAACTATTTCTAATGAGCCAATATCTCATGAACAGTGGTAAGGTTGTTTACAAGATGCCTAGCGTGAAAAACTTAGAGAGAATCGAAGAGGTTTAGTGTATCATTTTGGGAACAAAACAATCCTGTTAATCCTGTATTATGGAAGAGTTCACAATAGTATTACTACAACCTTTTTAGGTTGACTGTTCACCTCTGTGAATCGGGTGAAATCGTAAAACAGGGTTACAATAAGTTTTTTTTCCTCTGTAATTCGGCCTCTTCTGTTTTACAGCTGTTGAAAAACTCAAAGGTCTAATGGTCAAGTTATCTGATGCTGTGGCAGTTAGTGACATCAACTCAAGTGAGTACAGTAGAAGTGAAAACAACTGAATAACTTTTCCAGAATGCTTAACAATCACAGTAAAAATCAACTTGTATTGCAGTTACCGTTAAACAAATTGTATTATTACTTTTTCAGACATTGCATATACTTCCTTCCCTTTTAATACACTCGAATAAAGGAAGAGTAGCAAATTAAGCAGAATAGTATGGATCCACTTTTGGTTTGCAGTTTCTCACCAACTTCTTAAAGCAAAAGACGATTTTGCATCAATTTATATAAAATATTTGCATCCCTAAGTCGTTTTGGTTAGAATGAATCAGATTGTAGAACGGATTATATTAAAGTGAGGTAACTGAAGACTTACATATTAAGTGAATAAATATACTGGAACTGATAGTAACCGCGTTGGTATACACAGAAAGATTCAACGAGTATTGTAGAGTGGAAGTTGGCGAAGCGGGGTGGGGGTGGAGGGTCATGCAAATGTACTCTTCGTTCACGTAAAGTATGTGCGAAAAGGTCAGAGGATTAATATTATCTGAAAAAAATGAAATGAGTAGGATTCAGGCTATCAAGTCAAGTAAGAGAAACTAATGGCAATAAAGGTGCATATATTGATGGTGATGCATAAGTACATCATGATTCTCAACAAAACAAAACTCTTTGCGGTTGTAGGAGCAGATTGTTAAGATCTTGTTATCCTGAATACATAGGTTTGGTTTTAATTGCTGAGTGACTATGGCTTGAGCTAAAAGGAGAAAAGAGAGTTCACCTGTCTTGTTATTATCTTAGTTTAGCATCGAATGATGAGAATCTCGGAAGCAACTGCATGCACGCTGTTCTACTAAAACTGTTATTCTGATTCAACTATTTAAAGTCTCCCATCATTATTTCTATTTGTGGATGTCTTCTCTTTCTAATCAACTAATTTTGCATCGTTTACTTGTACAACGGAAGGCTGAGTGGGTACTCGATGTAAATTAAGATGTCATATCTCATTTTAGCGTGTCAACCAACTAATCTTTACTCTTGAATTTTAGGACTTGAAAATATTTGCAATGGACTAATTATATTTCTGAAAGTGAGCTCACATATACCTGTAATAATATGAAATGTACAGCATGCATGGTCATTGGAGGGTTTGTGGGTGCACATTGCAACGAGTCTCATGCTAAGACGAAACAGCGATGTAGTGCTCCTCACTTTTCAGTTATTCCCCACGTGATGTTAGTTCATGATGAATGCGGTCTCGAAATTCATCATGTGTTGTTATTAACTTCTGGGAGTTATTCCAAGGTTATCGCTTTCATGAAGAAACAAACAACTTCCTATTCTTAAAATGCGCTTCAACCAAGCGTGAAAATAAGCATTTACAATTAAAGCATCTTCGTCATCACCATCATCTTGAAAGATACTAGAGGTTGTAGAAGACATTCTTTAGCTGTTCACGTCAGTAGCTTAAAAAAATCACCTAATGTATCTAACTTTGTGCTTTTCAGGGGAGGAAGGATTTGCTGATACGCATTGCTTCACATTTCCCAGTTTAATTTGAAAGTTGGAAGAATAAAGTAACTGACTTTTCTTTAATTACATTATAACAATCACAATTGATGATGAAGTTGTACAAGTGGCTAACAGCACTGTAACATTTTTAATAATAATAATAATAATAATAATAATAATAATAATAATAATAATGATAATATATTTCATACGGTAAAAGCTGCATGAAGACAAACCAGTTTACAGGTATGATCACTTTAGTAATATGAGCTCACTGTTCGGTACAATAAATAGCAAACCACTAGATATCGTTATTTAAGACATATAAGAGATGAGTTTTCAGAAGGAACGCTGGTGTTTCGCAGATAACGAAGCATAAAATAGCTAAACACCAACATAATTTTTCAGCAGATAAAGGCAAATTCAGTTTGAAATAGAGAATTATCCAGCCATCATTTGAATCGTTGAATTTTCTTGAAGGTAGGGAGGGGGTGCGACGGTAACGTTGGATTTTTTGCATTCCTCATAAATCTGTGATGATATGGTGTGCACCAACAACTGCGAATGCAGCAGTTCCAAACTGATGAAGGATTGGGCAGCCAGAAATGAAAAACGAGTAACAAGAGCTGGCAGCAGGTCGAAATCAAAATAGAAGCATAAACATACTACGCGGAAAAACATCATTCATGATGGACATTGCTATTATTTTTCCCTTGGGTTCCTAGTAGAACATAGGGCTTCAGTAGCACTCCTCCATTGCACTCTGTTCTCTACAGTCTTTTGAACCTCGCTACACGACTGCCCACAAGCTTTCATCTCTTCCTCACATGATCTCCTCCATGTCACCCTCAGCTGGAACGCCGAACTCGTCATTTCCCCTTCGGATTCCACTCGACGCCCTGGCCTGGTGCGTGATATTCCCAGTCGGCCTTCTCAGTGTATATCCGATCAAATCCACCTCCACTTTCTTCTGCATATTTGTTGGGTGATATGTTGTTGGTCGGTTCGTTGCCAGCCAGCCAGAGTACCTTGTTGCTTATTCTTTCTGGCCTTGTGATCTGATCATCAGTATCGAGTGAGCGTAGGCAGTTGTTGATGAATGTCTGTAGTTTGTTGGAAGTGTTTCGTGACGCGCCAAGTTTCTGAACCATATAGCAGCTCTGACCTGACATTGGTGTTGAAAATCCGGATGTTGTTCACGCTTTATGCTGAGTGCAGAAGATCTCCACAGTGACTTCAAATTAATGAAAGCCTCTCTTGCTGTCTTTCCGATGATGGCTGGTTTTGACATCCTCTTCTGTGTCTGTGCCGTCTGTAGTTGAAACAATGCTACCTAGGTAGGTGTAGGTGTAAGAGACAACTTCCTTTAGGTTTCTGTCGTTAATGGTGATTGGTGCTTGTTGTTGATGCTGTTGTCGGTTGAGTATCCTCATCACCTCCGTCTTCTCTATACTCAATTGAAGTCCGTCTTCCTTCGCTGCTTGCCAAAGACAATTGGTTTTTGGAACGAAAGTGCAACAGACGATCACCATTGTTAGTTCGTTTTGCATAGGATTCCGTAAGTACATCCAAGATGTCTTCCCGATTGTCTCAGCTTCCCTACTTGAGTATTAAAGTCACCTGCCATTATGCCATCATCTGAAAGTTTCTCTTTCTGTATCAAAAGCGATAGTTCCTCAAAGGATTTACTTTCTGTATAATCCGGAATACAGTCGATGGGTGCATAAGAGGAGATTGAGAATAAGCATCGCCTAATCTCACGATCCTTCCTAATTCTTACAGATCCATTCAGTCGAATAGCACACAGACGGCATTTGACTGGTATGCAGTCGGAAAGCGTACTTTCTGCGCATCAGCTCAATGCTATGAGGATGATAGGTTGTTTGACTCAGCCTGGAATAATACTGCAAGCTTGCATGGAATCAAAACTTTTCACCTAACCAAGTTTCTGGGGATTGGATCTCGTTTCCTGGTTTGCTCCTGTAGTCAGTAGAAAAATCTCTCCTGCTTTCAGATCCCGTGAGGTGAATGTTCTACGGGTTAGTATTTGTATCCCATACACTGAATTAATTAGAAAGCTATCAGTAGCCAGGAAGATTAGAGATCTTTCATGCCATCAGTTTGTATAGGTGCCCGAACAGGAATAAGAGGATACTGAGGGACAATCATCAACATCAGCATAAGATGAGGCATTACTGCGCAACGGTCAAAGTTGCCACATCTCATATTAGTACATCAAGTAACAATGCGATAAAATGGAATATGAAGGAAAAACCGGTCAAAGGAAGTGAAATTAGGGAGTAGTGAGAGAGGAAAGAATGAGATTAAGTATGGTGGTTGATGTGAAGATAATGCGCGTATGCATCTGCGCCACTGATATCGGTTCTGTGCATTACGGGAGGTCTCTGAAGGACAAAATAGACAGTATGAGTCTAGTTACTACAAAAGTTGACAGATAATGCAGGTGCAGTATCAATAAGAAGATGGTGAGTGGCAAACAAGAAAGGAATAGTAGTGGGCTAGTAAGGTCAATATTGCCCCAAGTATGTCGCTAGTAAGCGAAGCGAAATAACGCAACTGCCTGTATTCTGAATGAGAGGGCTATGACTAGATAAAGCGATACGACATTCAACGAGGCGGAAACTCTTCAGAAGAAAACGTTTGACATGGGTCCTGTAGCGGCTCTCTGATTTGCTATCCTGATGGGTTCCCTCGTGATGTCAATCAAGTGGCGAGATGACGTTGGTTTGTTTGCGTGACTCACCTGATGAACGATCGTTTAAAAGACAGCTGGATGACATATTTTTCGCGATAGCTCGGATCGGATGCGTTTAGGCGCCTCATTTTATGAGTGTCATAAACTTTAGTTCGACAAATGTCTGTTTCACAGATCTTTGTATTTTCTCTCTTGGAGGTTAGGGATGCTACCATAGTGAAGACTTGTAGGGGCAGCTGTATTTAGGGTTTGAAAACCATTAGGAAGAGACTAGAACAAGACACTTAGCTGTCTACGTAAAACGTGTTCAGTGACCTTGTGTGGGATTGCTAGTTTCGGAGTCGTAGTACGTTAGGAAGCTATTGTTTTTTAACACAGCAATCCTTCGTACCCTGGCAAGGGAAAGTATTGAGCTGTTTAGCGATATTTTATATTTAGTTACTCAAAGGTGTATAGCTGACCTTGATGTATTCGCTCGTTTGTATTGCCCACATCAAAAGTGGTTGCAGTATCCAGTTTTCAGTTATAAGGATAGTAGGCCAGTTGGCCGGTGTTAATCCTTGCAAAAGATATCTCTGTGAAGATCTAGTTTCTCCTTGAAGGCGTTCCAGTATCCAATAGTTGGGTTCACTCCTAAAGTGGACGAGGAGATCTCTTCTGCTTTCTCGCTTTTAGCTTCCGTGAGGTGGCTGTTTTGTGGGCTAGTAAGTTGTGTTTTGCATAGTGATTAGGGAGCCACGGGTTGCTGGGAAGGCTAGGAGATTGCCGTGACCCCCGTCTGTGTAGGCGCCTGAAAAGGAATAGTAAGGCGGTGGTAAAGAAGAAAAAAGAAAAGAAAGGAAGAGAAAAAGGAAAAGAAAGAAAAGAGAAAAGGGAGGGGGTAGAGAAGAGGAATAAAAGAGAGGGAGAATTACGTGGGAATTGTCTGAAAGACTAAAATTGATGGCGTAGGTCTATCTCCTAGAAAAGAATTAGTGGGTTTATGGGTGTATTAAGGAGCGAGATAGTGAGTGGTAGGTAGGAGGGAGGTGAGAGTGGGCTAGTGGGGTTGGTGGCTCCCTGAGTGTATTCGTGGTGGACCGTGCGAGGTCACATAGCTGTCTAACCGTCTCTTGAATGTGTTGACTGAGGGGGCTATGACGATATGTCGCGGTAGGGCATTCCATAAAGCGCATACTCTCAGGGAGAAAAAATTGGACCTGAGTGTGGTATTGGCTCTCTGATGTGTTATTTTAGTGGCGTTTCCTCGTGAAGACCGCTGTCACAGGCAAGGTTGGTTCGTTTGCGTGGTTTGCCTGATGGGTGATCTTGTAGGTCACAATAAGGTTGTCCCTCTTCCTACGATAACACAAGGTGACCAGGTTTAGATGTTTAAGCCTTTCAGAATATGCCTTCCCCCTAGCCCCACAACTGATTCTGCTGCAGTTCCCTGTACTTTTTCAAAGACGGTAGAGTCTCCCTTGAGTGTTGGAGTAGGCACCGTATCGAAGATCTCTAGATGCGGCCGCACGTAGAATTTGAGAACGGTGAGGAAGACTTTGGGACTGGGGTCGCCATACTGTCTACGTGGAAAATGCAAAACTTCGTTCACTCTGGTTGTCGTGTCTTTGTATTTAGAGCTGGTGTTCAAGGTGTCGGAGAAGGTGTGCCCTAAATGTTTCTCTGTAGACACGCTGGTGATAGCATGGCTGCTCAAGTCGGTCGTGCTTGCTTCATATCTACTGATGTGCATTGAGGGAAGGTGCTGAAACTACTTGCTGAGGTAAGAGGTTCCATTCGTCGGCTACTCCATGGGAGAAGGGCAGATTCACGCCAAGTTGATTCGATCGTGATATTGGAATTTTCTTTTGCTGCTCTCGGAAACAGTCGATCCTCGCCTTCTTCGACATCTTGAACACCAGCTCCAAATAAAAAGCCATGGAAAACCGGACACATTGGGGACGGTAGTCTCCCTTGAATGTTGGAGTAGGCACCGGCTGGTTAACCAGTTGTCTAGTTACTAGCCGGGCCTAAGTCCCGATAAAGAGGAAAGTTTGGGCATATGGCTAGCAACCCTACCACGGAAAACCAATCCAATCGCTAAACAAACTTCAAAGCACAAATAAAATATGAAAAATAAAAACAAACTTACTCCTCTCCGGAATCGGAGAAGCGAAATGACACCGGTTGGTGAAAGCCTTCGGAAAGCCAATTGACCGATATGTCTTCGCCTCTCTCGATCAAACCAAAGTAAACATGGGGATATGGAATGTCCGCACCATGTTTGGACCTAGCAAGGCTGCCCAGATTGCAAACGAGATGAAGAGGTATCACACTGAAGTGCTTGGAATTCG